CTCTGGATGGATGCAAACTGCATTTGTCGCTTTGTACATGTGACGTGCAGTGACAAAGTTGAATTCTATTCTATTCTAGCTTGCTTTTTTAACTCCTGTGAGAAGTAGTCTCAGAAATCTGAGTCTGGTCTTTGACAGTCATTGTAAAACTTAAATTTGTAATTTTTGGCATCAGTTCAGAAATATTTCCAAGCTGAGATCTTTTGTCACAGACTGAGCTAGAGATGATTGTTCACACTTTTATCTCATCTCATTTAGATTACAGCAGTGTGCTTGTTGAAACAAATCTTCCCTGTCTCGTCTTTAGTCTGTGCAGCGAGGTTATTAACTAAGACTGGCAGAAGAAATCACAGGACTGCCTTCCTCTGCGTTTGGCGAGTTAATTTAAAATGTTTGTCTTAATTACTTGACTACTTTATGGTCAGGCCCCCCAACCTACCCTGTATACTATATTGAAAGTYTCTGCAGCCTCTGTGTTTCTCCAGGACTCAGAGGTCTTTAAGTGAAATGATGGTGGACGGTGGTACCCTGAATCCATTTTATGACCTATGGAGACAAAGTGCTTCAGGCTCTTTGACAAAACATYTAGGCATTTTTATTTACTTAATTGTAAAAAGTTTTCCATTTACAAAATACTAGCTTCCTCACTTCTTAGCAGTGTTTGTTTCAGTGTAAGAATCAGAATACTTTATTAATCCCGGGGAGAAACAGCATTGTTTTGTTATTGTTTTTACTGAGTTTTAGCAGARTACTGTACAGTTCTGAAACAGGAAGTACAACAGAATAAACTAACCAATCACAGTCCTYCATTCTCTGCTTCTAACCAATCACAGCCCTCCTCTCCCAGCAATGACCGGAGAACCGTGTGTCTTGATAATGAGGAACACAAAACACTTAGCGCGGCTATCCCGTTTGAACCGACTTTACAATAACCATGAGCACACGAGTTTAAACTGACCTGACGTTAATCACGGGGACGCCATTAGTTACGTAGCAAGGCCATTAGAATCTGTTTAACAGTCTGTCATCTCCGACGAGATAGCATKACATAAAAACTGGCCGGGTGAGTCCTCGAAATGTTGTAGCTTTTAATGAYCACTAATTGGCAATTACCTGGCAGAGGGATGTTTACAAGATGTTTTTCTACCGCGCGGTCTTCCATTGCTCGTTATGATTATTGTCGGTCTTCTTCTGCTCAGTTAGCGGTGGAGTGGGAAGTCTGCGAGAACATGCTGCCACCACCCGGTGCACAGGAGAACTGCAGCCAGTGAAAATTCACAGGGTAGATTTTTACCTTTAAAGGATTTCTATTAAAATTCACAGGGTAGATTTTTACCTTTAAAGGATTTCTATTTATTGAGGCTTTAAATACAATCTTCACTGGAAGAGAAAATCAACTTTGATTCTTCATATGCGTAACATGTACCACACTTTAAAGAGAATCACTTACCTTAAAGAGAATCACTTACACCAGCCTCTCCCATCTTGTGAGTTTAGGTTTGTTTTAAATGAAATCCTCAATGCTACCCTAATTTCATAGACTGATTTGTTTTTAGTCTATACATATGATCATATGGCTGGGGGCTCAGATTTTGTCCAGGTTTGCAGCAGCGTTCTATTAGCTATTGGAACCAGAAGACATCTAGCAGCCAATAAAGTCTGAGAAGAGCTAGTTTSTCCTTTTTCTTGTTTACCGAAGAGACGAAAATATGACGTGGACATTGGGACAAGACGAGGGTCCACTCTAAGCAGTTCATCTATTAAAAAAATGGCTTCCAGGTAAGAAAAAAACAAAATATCTCAAAATATACTCCTGTGTATAATGCAACCCCACATATTTGTTTTAAGATTTTTATGTTCAAATATTTCGCATTAAACAGATATGGTGGTATAATTTTACTTTTAAGCTTCACAAACCAAAAACAGAATTTATAAAACAAATTGTTTCAATAGTGCTTTTATTAATTGGTGCTTTTAGATCTTGTTGAAAGCTGCGACGTCCATCGACTGAACAAAGTCTTCGAAGGCGGTAATCTTCTCCTCCAAGATGTCTGTACCCACCTGGAACAACACAGGAGCTTTAACATCTGCAGGTAAATAACCCAWCAGGTTCTCAAACAGGACAAAAGCTTCACCTTGTCGTCCTCWACCACACAGCTGATCTGAAGTTTCTTGATGCCGTATCCCACTGGCACCAGTTTGGCTGCAGAGACCCAGTCAGTTATTAATGATCAATACATCAACTTCACAAATCAAAATTAGCGTTAAGAGTCTCTGCAGGTTTCAGATTTTTTWAAAAAAGTGTCCATCAGTATTCAGCCGAAAGATGGTGAGTTAGATCATCAGCTTAGCAGACCTCAACCTATGGTACTTTTCGTAGTACCGTGAGTATTCTGTGGTACTCCTTACATTGTCCCCAGACCAGGCCGTCCATTTCGATGCTGCGCACGCACTCCTCCAGCTTGGCCATGTCCGTCTCGTCATCCCACGGCTTCACGTCCAACAAGAGCGAAGACTTGGCGATGAGTGCGGGCTCTGGAAGGGTGTAGGAGGAGAGTAAACGGTGAGTTACCATGGAAACCACACAGCTTCCTTCTGATTGGAGGCTGAGACTCATCAGGTAAAAGAAAGTGTCCATCAGGCGATCAGCCGAAAGATGGTGTYTGGGTGATCATCACGAAGAGTCCGGTGATCACTGAGTGTGTGAAAGACGAGGGAAACGTACTTTTGGCCTTCTTGGCAGCGTACTCTGCCAGACGCTGCTCCTTCAGCTTGGTGGCCTCTGCGTCTTCCTGAAGCAGAGATCAGGTCAAGGTTATCCCCCACCATCTGTCACATGACCATGACCCATACCGTGACCTCACCTCCTCATCAGAGCCAAACAGGTCAATGTCGTCGTCATCCTCGTCGTCCTTGGAGGCGGCAGCGGCGGAGCCCGAGGTGGTGTCGGCCACACCTGCAGGTCCGTACTGACCCAGAGGTTTCTTCACACCTGGAAGACTGACAAGAGTGGAATTTAGCTGGTGATGTTAGCATACAGCTGATCTAATATCATCGTCAGCAGCAGCAGCAGCAGGCTCACCTCTTCTGGTCCCGGTAGGACTTGATGTGGTTGTACCAGCGGAGGGCATGACACAGATCAGCTGAGGGYGGTGCTGACAGGACCTCGAAAACTGCTACATCAGCCTGGGACGGGACAAACCTGAGGAAAGGAAGGTTGTTACCATGATTACTGGCAGCGCCAACATGCCTGGAAATGTTCATCTTACACCACATGTTCTGTTCTAGGGTCGGGCAATATCGGCAAAAAAAAAAATCACAATTGATTGTGGTATTTGGCCAATAACTATTAATTTGATGATTAATCCCCTGAACACCCTTACTTTGTAGTCACATGACCAATATAATGGAAAAGATTTGCTCTTTGTAAAAAGTTGTTCCAATCTGTGTGAAAATTACAGATTTCAGGCTGTAAATCATATTTTAAATTGTGTTGATAGGTAAATAAATTACAGAACTTTATTTTTAATGTTCATAATATTTGAACTGGAGAGGAGCACCGAGCGGACTGACCGGAGTAATCCCCAGTCAGTCTGCCTGGTGGCAGTAATCGTATTAATCGTCAAGTGCCAAAAAGTAGTCGATTAGAGTTTATCTGACAGTTAATTGCACACGCAGGGTTCCTACAGTTTAAAGCAAGTTAAATTTAAGACTTTTTAATGCCAACTGAAATTAAATTTAAGACCAATTTCATAATAAACTAGGGCTGCACCGATTAATCGACAACTAATCGATTATTAAAATAATCGATTAATCGTTTTCTTCCCCCCCATTCTTTACTTTGTTTTTCTCTCCAAACTGCTTTGACACCTTCCACTGCCACATCTGCCTTTCTGTCCTTGACACACATGCACAGTAGTGGTAACTGGGGTAGACCGTGGACGTCACAAGTAGGGCTGCACCGATTAGTTCAAATAATCGATGACGTCGATTATGTAAATCTGTCGACGCAGATTTTTTATTATCGATTCGCTGTATTACATAACCACCACGTGAATGTTCATGCAATTCCATTTCGGTACCTAAATGCATCATTGCGACTGTACTGGCATAAGAGTGGTGAGTTTTCCATGTTTTCCATGCTTGTCCTGAACTCAGCATCGCGCAAGAGCGTAATGACATCAGCACAGCAGAGTAAAATTTACCAAACAGACCGCCTCTGAATTATCTGGTGGATTAATTATCTTGTGAGCACGACGTTCACTTGCTCAAATAGGCCTGTCACGATAACAAATTTTGCTGGGCGATTAATTGTCTCAAAATTTATTGCGATAAACGATAATAT